GGCTATCTCTTGATTATGATGCCTATGAACAAAGTTCCATGTTCTCTTTGGATCTGTGGCCAAGGAAGTGAGGTCACATCTTGGGGTTCATAGCCTGAGTACCCTCTTTGATAAGAAGGCTCTCTGGCTCATCATTTTCTTCATACTAAATAAATCAGTAGCTGCTTATTTTTACTACTTTTATCTAAGTATTATCTTTTTATCATCTATCAATCTATTATCCAATTGTTAGTTTTTTTACTTTTGCCGTACTGGGGCTTGAATCCTGCATCCTCAAACTGAACTACATCCTTGGATTTTTTTTTCGGATACCCACTAATGGTCTCACTAAGTCACTAAACTGGTCAAGTTGGACTCCCACCTTGTGATCTTCTTGCCTCAGCTCCCCAGAATGCCAGGATTACAGACATGCACCATCTTGCCTGGTTCAGTGTGTAATTCAGAAACAGCAAAAGACAAACTAGAAAAGCTTTCAGTGGTATTAGACATTGGTGACATTTTCACTTTTAAAACATGTTGACACTTTGCACATGGTGGGCACAGTGCTGAGAGGTCTTCCATACAGTGGAGGGAGCCATTTTCTCTGAAGGTGGTGTGTGGGGCCGGGAAATTTTAGGGTGCTTTTCTTTCCTGAATTGATTGTATCATTTTCATGATGATAAGCAATCATAAGTATTAAGACATTCTAGAAATTTCCACTAATTCAGAAATAGAAATGTTGGCTTCAAATTGTAAGCTTTGGTGTAGCGGTGAGGGTAGAGGGTGGCAAAGCTAGCTGGGGGAATAGGTGGGACTTGTTAATTATAAGATCCCAGGACAGCATCAAATAATTCACAGGATTCCATATGTAGAATTTCCTGGGCATTCCCATGAGGTGGGGACAGCATAAAAGATGGGAGACCGTGAGAAACCTGCTGCCACGACTCCTCACAGTAGCCCACCCAGGGTGCACTTTTATTTTTGCTCTTCTTTGCCTCTTGGGTTCGGCTCAAGCTTGCTCTTCAGAGCCAGTGTCTCCCTTACCCCTTCTCACTTCACTTTTCAAACCAACTTTTTAGCACCGTTCTTGGCTTGTCTCATTCAATTCCCTTTTCAAGGCAAGAAGGACCTGGAATCCGTTTAACTGGCGAGCCACTTCTAAAGGAACTACTCAACAACAGTAGCGGTGGGCCCACAGCAGGTTGTGCCTCTTAGATCCACACGAGGGAGTGTTAATTACCCACTCCGTGAAGGAACTTAATGCCGAAGTTGTGTTCAATGTCATGACACGGCGTGAGGCAGGATAGCACGTGGTGACTGCGTGGCGACTGTCTGGGCAGGCTCTAGAGACCACCACCCCAATGGTGAGGGTGACCAGACACACATAGCACTTTGAAACTTCCTCGCGGCCACTTGTGATCACATCCTGTCCTCATCCCGAAAGCCCATGCATTCCAGGGGATAGTCTGCTGTTCCTAGATGTGAGCAGGCGGTACCATTCAGCATGTAGGGTTTTTTTGTTTTTTGTTTTTTGCAGAGCTTATTCTACAGTATAACCGTGTTCTTTTTCATGTGTGGGCTGTTATGCCTCTGTGTGGCCGAACCACAAACTGTTCATGTCCCCACCAGCAGATGGACTGTTGTTTCCACGGTAACAGGCTTTCACTTGGACCTGGGGAGAGTGCTCCTAGTTGCCTGTGATGGTGTGGGATGTGCTGCTGCTGTCCCTGTGGATCGGTATCTCCTCAAACCAGCCTCTGTGTGAAAAGTATGGGTGCAGGGGGCACAATGTGGAGCACTTGGCCTTGGGCACCTGGTTAAAATCTGCTGTGGCTGCCAGTTCATCTACCTTCCTCCCAGCTGTGCATCAGACTGGATTTTGAAAGCAAACATCTGGCCCACCTCCCTCCATGTCCCAAAGCTGTGGGGAGAGCGGGCTGCTAGAAGACTCAGGGAAGGGCACACTACCCACGTTCCTGACTTGCATCGGGCCTCAGCCCCGCAGCATGGACCTCAGTCGCTGGCTTTCACAGCAGCCATCACAAACGCTGACTGCAATTCTGAGGATAGCGTTAACCTCCAGTTAAGATCAGGTCTCGGGGATCTCACAGGGGTCTTGGCAGGATGGCCTGGCGACCTTGTCTGAGATTGTCTAGCCTTGTCTAGGGCCAGGCTCTAGCACCTGGATGCTGGTGCCAGGAGAAGATTACCAGTGTCTCCCAAGACTTGGCTGGGGTGAAGCCAGGAACATAGACTCAAAGACAGATTTGCCTCACCGCCCTCCAGATGGAGTGTGCGCATTAACCTTAATTACCAGGTGGCACAAGTCCCATCCACTCATTTCAAGGACATGACACCCAGGAGCACACAGAGCCAAGCTCAGCTCCCTGGGTACTGGTCCTTCTGGCCATCTGCCTGTGGTCCCCATCACGATGGCACCCCTCTCGGTACAGAGCCTGCCCAGGCCAAAGGTTCCCTCCACCATCTGCAGATATTTCAGTCAGGGACCCTGACCTGGGCAGGGAGTGACCCTCCAGACTGTCAAAGCAGCTGTAGGGTTGGGGTGTCACTGCCCCACGTGGAAAAACATCCTGCCAATTATAGGACACCTGGGGACAAAGTGAAGAATCCAAATGCAGGACCTGGGAACAAGTGTCTGGGCAGTGTTTTAGGGAAAATCCAGCAATAAGGCAGTCATGGTTCAAAGGATGCAGAAGGCCAGGGTTTGTGCATAAATTCCAAGCACTTCCTGTGAGGGACAGGAGTGCTCATGAGCGTGGAGCGTCCTATCTTTAGATTCTGCAGCCTTTCCCTGAGTGAGGCTACTCTGGATGCACGTGCTGCTTTGGGAACATTTATTTAACTCCCAGGAGATTTGATACCTCATGTATATGATGTCCCATTTGTTTTTTTTTTAAGTATGTAATTATTAATTCAAGTGCAATTGAAAAAAAAAAAAGATGAGAAACCTGCTTGAAGATTAGAAAACACTGTCCTTAGCATTGCTGCATTTCAGGAATTTCATCCTGGTCTCTCAGGAGCTGAAGCAAGGGTCAGGCTCCACGCCCTTCCTTCCCCCAGATGTGTGCATCCCTGCCTCTTGTCCTTCATTCACTGGGGTACGGAGGTCAGGAGGGATCCAGGATTGTTCTACCCAGTGCGCAAGATCAGTCTTCAGCATTAATATTAACTACTACTATTCATATGTATCAGTATTCACTGAGTATTTTTCCCCATTGTGTGAGTAGAATTCTTTTCATCTTCCATCTGCTTGGCTCCAGCCAGAATGAACCAGAAGTGGTTCTCTAGCTCTGCAGTTTTCTTGCTTTTCCTTTTGGTTTTTGAGGGATCAAGCCCCAGGCCTGGGGCTCCGTGACCATATGCTGTGCCCCTGAGCTCTGTGAAGGACGTGGCACATGGGGGAGCAATTTGTTCTCTGTCCTCTCACTTTCTCAGGTTGTGTCACTAAGGCGATGAAATCCACATAATGAACAGTATCTGTTTGAAGATCTGTCAACTGCCAGTTCCGGTGAGGCAACGTGGCTGGAGCAGGTGGGCCCGGCCTGTCGACTGAAGAGAATTGTTAACCACACACACAGGGCAGCAGCTCCCGAGCCTGACAGGATTAAACCAAGCCCTGCACCCGGTACCAATCTCCCTGGTACCTGATATCAATCTCTGGTACACAATCGAGTAGAACCACCTGGATCAACTAACAGAAGAAATAAAAGGGTGGCAGCAACTGATTGCGTGCCACTGCCCTCTCATTCTTGCAGTGGTTGGTGCTGCTCACAGGATATATCTTCTCTTCTTCCTTCAAAGTGCCCTTTTCTCCCTGAGCACTTCTTCTGTGCTTCTTCTTTTTATTTCTGCCCTAAAAAGAATGGTAATCTTTCACATCACCAACTGTCCTAAGTCATTGAATGGGACAAATAAGAACCTGGAAAACACTGGTAGTCCCACCCCACCGGACACCATGATCACATCTGCATTTTTGTCTCCCCAGACTGCTGTAGCTAAGTACCACGGTCTGGATGGCTTTAGTGATACAGTGCACTGTTTACTTCTAAAGGCTGGAGTTCCAGACCCAGGTCCAGCAGGGTAACTTGCTCCTGAACCGACTTCCTAGTTGGCAGATGGCTGCCCTGCAGCAGAACCCCCCATGGCCTTTCGGTATGTGTGCTCACAGTAAGTCCCTGAGCCACCAGACTAGAACTCCACCGTTACGATCTCATTTAACCTTAGTTACTTCCTAGAAGCACACCGGGGTTAGGGCTTTGCATACCCATGGGGAGAGGGGATTTCAGTCCAGAGGAGTCAACCCTTGCATACAGGGGTGGAGTCTAAGTGTGACCGAGGGGCACTGCCATAAGCGGTTCAGGCCAGGTCCATATGCAGGAGCAAGCAGGTAAGAACCAAGGCCCCGAGAAAGCCAACCACTTGTCACTGTGGGAATGCACAGCTGGCTGCAGCAAGACTAAGAATTCACTTGGGCCATGCTCCTCAGCATGGACCACAGGTCCTATAAATAGAGGTATGGCCATTATGAAGGGTAACCGGTCAGAACCACTTCCCTGGCTGACACATTCTGGGTTAAGTGGATGGCGGTAGCTCAGGTCAGAGGCAGCTTCTGAGGTCATAATCCCAGTCCTATGGGACCTCACTGGATGACCTCTGTCCTCTACCAGGTAGGTCAATTAGCAGGCCTATCAGAGACTGATGAGAGTACAGAAAGAGCTGATTAAAACACGACAGTTGCCAGTGCTGGGGTAGGGCTAATGGAATACACCATGTATTTAGGGCTTATTTGCCAATATCTAAACATCCCCAGCCTCCTAGAAACATCTAGGGCAGCGATGGAGAAACTTTTAGAGCTTTCAAAGCTGCAGCACACATGCCATAGGCTCACCACCACGAGTCTGAGGCAAGGACACAGAATGAAACAGCATGAAAAGAAAACATTTTTACCAAGAGAGTTCACAGTCACTATATACCACACTTTTATAAGCCAGCATAACCACTCTGCGGTGTCCTTTCACACTGCGATGAGCTTGGGTCCCTCTGGATCCCCTCACATAGCCTCTGTGTGAATGATTTTCTTCCAGCAGCTATACCTACAGCCTCCCAGGAACCTGCTGTTGGCCACTAGATCTTCTCCAATTACATCGGGAGCTGAAGGTGCATGAAAGTTCATATCACCCCGGAGTGGCCCATGGTAAATGACCGATTCCTGTAGACGTGGGGAGGTCCCACCCACTGTGTTCAGGGGGATGCTATAGTTTAAATATGAAATATCCCCCAAGACTCAGGCACAGAGGGCTCTCAGAGTGTCCAGAGGTTGGGCCTAAAGAGGTGATTGGATCATTGGGACGGATGTCATTAACAGATGAATCCACGGGTGGATTCACAGCCGGTGAGCTGGTAGGAGGTAGGGCCTGGTAAGAAGAAACAGGTCACCAGGGAGTATCACCTGCTCCCAACCCATTCCTTTCTGGCTTTTTCTGTTTTTCTCTGCTTCCTGCCTCCTATGAGATGTGGAGCTTTCCTCTTCCAGATCCTCTGCTAGCATGTTCCTCCCTTGGCATTGTTGACCAGGACCGAAGCCTCTGAAACCATGAGCCAAAGTAAACCTTGTTTCCTTAAAGCTGTGCACATCAGGCATTTTGTCACAGTGATGCAAAGCAGACTAACACAGAGGACAAACGCAGCTATGCAGTTTACACCCCAGACTACCTTGGACCTGGTGACACCTGTCTCTCCCTGAAATTGCCTCCTTATCAAGCTTGTTTGACTCCTGGCCCTACTCCCTTCTCCTCCCTGTTAGCTCCTCCTGGGAGCACTTTCCGCATAAATCCTTGTACAGGAATCACCATCTCGATGCCTGCTGTGGGTAACCTGACCCGAGACTGGAGAACATTAACACCCGTATTTATCCGAAACTTCCACTGCTAGCCAGACTAGCAAGTGATAGGTTGAATCAGACCTAGACTTTGCCCTGAAGGCTTCTGAGCCTATCTGGGCAGCAAATAATGCTAAAATCAAGACACTTCAGTAAATCACTAGGACGGGTCAGGAAATCATGTTCTGGGGAGAAAGCCAGGGGTGGGACTGGACAACCTTTCATCAATGCAAGCAGATGAGTCACTCGTACAGCTTTAGCCCCCTCAGCAGAAGCCAGGAACAGAGATGAGAGCCAGAAAAGATCTTTGGAGAATTCCCATGACACATGGAGGATGTATGTAGGAAATGTTTGAGAATGTTACTTTAGCAGAAACTCAGTCCACTCAGACTAAAAGGTGCAGGCAAAGCCAGGCGTGGTGGCGCACACCTGTAATCCCAGCACTCAGGAGGCTGAGGCAGGAGGATCGCTATGAGTTCGAGACCAGCCTGGGCTACATAGTGAGTTCCAGGTCAGTCTCAACTAGTAGTGAGACCCTGTCTCAAAAAACAAAAACAAAACAAAACAAACTGTACAGGCAAGGTGAAACAAGAGAAGTGGTCGAAGAAAGCATGTTGGTCACCTGCACACCTGGGATACGCTTTGAGAAACAGGAAGAATGGCTCATGGGAAGGCCTCAGGGAGAGAACGACAAAGAGGACCCCTCAGCTCACACAGAGATACTCTCAAGTGTTGGGAACTAATGGATTTTTTCTGACAAGATTTTGAAATTTGTGGAACTAGTGATGCCGTCGTTCTATTTTTTTTTTTTTTCCTCTTGGAACAGAAATGTCTGTAACTGTTATCCGATGCAGTTCCCATTGTATTTTTGGAGTGGATAGCTTATTTTCCAGGTCTACAGATGGAGGGGAATTTTTTCCAGGGCGACTAATGCCCAGAGTCTCCCCCATAACTGATATTCTACCTGACGAGAATTTGGACTTTGAATTGATGCTATCAGGTTGACACTTTGGTGATGTGGGAATAGGGTGAAGGTAGGCGGGACACACACAAATCTTTGGGGGCTGGGGAGTGGATTGTGATAGAATGAATAATGATCCCCCCAGGCCACAAGTTAGTGAATGCTAGCATGTGTGGCCAAAAGGGCCGTGAAGATATGATTAAGAATTTTGAGATGGAGAGCCGGTCCTGAGTCAGCTCGTGGCCCTAGATGCAGTCACAAGTGTCCTCATCAGAGGGACACCCAGGGACATGTGTAATAGCCAGAGGTAATGTGACTGTAGAAGCAGAGACTGGAATGAGGTGTTGAGAGCCTGGAAATACTGGCAGCCTCCAGTAGAGGAAGCTGAAAGCAGATTGTGCCAGGGAGCCTCAGAAGGAAGCTCAATTTAGCTCCTTCAAGTTCACTTTGGACTTCTAACCTCCAGAACCCTAAGTGATGACATTCGTGTTGTTTTAAGGCACCATTAGTGGCAACAGGAAATGCATACATCCAGTCAGCGTGTAACTATGACATTGTCATTTTGATTTTTACATCCTGTCTATAAAGACATAGCCTTGAGGGAGTAACCGGGAATGAGTCGATCAGGTGTACAAAGGCATTGTTTGGAGGAGAAACAACTTCCCGGTCCACCAGGCTAAACATCCCAGTTGCAGCAGCCCCAGCAGCCCCAGGAGGAGCCGAGCAGAGGATCAGTAAAGCCCACAAGAGGAGAGCAGGGTGAGCTGCTGCTTGTTCTTGTCCTGCAGGGCCCATGGCTCAAAGCAGCCATAGTGGCCTTCTGTTCCTTAGGGTCACTCTCAAACACCACAGTCCCCTTCACTTCTGAAGGTGGAGCTGTGAACAACACTAAGAATGACAGTACCTTTCTGCTGGTTAGGAAGGATTGGGAAACAGCAAGACACACACTAACACCGCAGCGCTGCTCCACAGTGCCATGCAAGGCATGTGGGGTGTTCAGGATCTGCACTCTCTGGACACGCATGTGTCGCCTGTCTTACCTACATTTTGGAGGGTTCTGAGACAGTTGCCCTGATAAATTCAATCTCTGTCTATAAATAGGGCTAAGCACGCATCTCCTGGAGTTTTCTTGTGGATCAAATAACAGCCTTGTCCTTGTCAGACCCACATCTTTTCCAGGGTCACTCAGGTCTGCTCAGATCCTGCCTCCTCCCCGAGTGGCACTGCTGAGATGAGCCCGAATGTGGACCTGAGTCCGGCTGGGTGCAGCAGCCCGCATCCCTGAATCACCTTCGAGGCTCACAGGTTGCGTATGGGGGATCTGGGTTCCTCAATCACCCATGCTGCAATTCGGGAGGGCTCCCTTCACCTCACACGAGGTCCCCGCTTGGCCTCGGGTCTTTCTGATCTTCCCCATGGATAAGCACACCCTTCTGCTGTCCTCCCCACAGCGGCTTCTGTCCCACACTGCAAGGCCGCGCAACTTGAGGTTATGCATGTCCCTTGACCGGTGGCAGCTTGGGAGGAGAAGCCGAGTCCTGTCCCACCCATTTCTGCTACACTCCTCAGACATTCTCAACCTTCCTGGAGACATCAAGGAGAAGTTTCCTCACCCCTAAAATAAAGAAACCTGAGATAAATATGACTATTCTAACAGGGACAGTCCTGGCACATCCAAGAGATCAGCTGAACTTGGAGTCAGAATTTCCGGAGAGATGATAATTTACAAGAAAAAAGATGAAAAGTTCCCTGAGTTGATGAAAGCCTTAATTTTTAGTTTAAAAAGATTAACTGCATGTAAGACATTTTGTTTGATTTTATTTATTTATTTTTCTGAGACAGGGTCTCACTATGTAGCTGAGACTGACCTGGAACTCACTATGTAGCCCAGGCTGGTCTCGAACTCACAGCAATCCTCTTGCCTCAGCCTCCTGAGTGCTGGGATTACAAGTGTGCACCACCACGCCTGGCTTGTAAGACATTTTTAACGGAAAAAGATCTACACCAACATTTTCTTGGTGACCTCTAATATCGAAGACAATTCTCTCAGGATAGAGAGGAGGGGAAGGTTGTCCACAAAGGAAGAAGGAGCTGTCCGTAGACTGTCATCATATTCTCCTGCACAGCACTAAATGCTGGAGGATGAGGAGGAAGGGTTTTAGGGTTATGAAAGGGAAGATTATAAACAAAGAATTCTATACTTAGCTCTGAGAGTAACACAAGGGCATTTTCAGACATTCAAGTGTTTTAAATATTTGTTGTATGCATGCAAGATAATTATAAGTGCTCCCTAGCAAGAAGAGATTCCTTGGAGAGGCCTCTACCACCAAGGAATAAATCGAAACGAAGAAGAGATATGCAGAGAAAAATAAAAGAAGTAATTATCTGTGTAAATAATTATACATCCAAAACAATGTAAATGCTAAACATACATTTTGAAAAATCACTTAGCTTGCTTTATGGCAAGATTTCATGTCTTAAAATTCCAAATTATTTCAATAAAAATTTGTGGGGAAAGGTGAAAGGAAATTAAATTCTTTGTGTTATTTGGGTAATTCTCCTATTATTTTAATATTGATAGAAAAATGGAGCGTTATGTATGTGCTTGCATACTTAAAGATAACTTTGGAAAAATGATTGTAAATCTTTGCAAAATATAATCCATAAGCTAAAAGACATTGTAAAGCACAGTTGTGGTAGGAAGAGTTGGGGACAGTGTCTCAAAAATCTATGAAGGTAGTAAGTGTGACCTCTTTACAGAGCTATTTCTAGCTCTTTTCTTTAAAAATCTTTTTTTAAATTTTATTTATTTATTTATTTTTTGAGAGAGAGGGCCTCACTAAGTTGCTAAAATGCCCTGGCTAGGCTGAAACTTTTGATCCTCCTGCCTCAGCCTCCCAGAGTGCTGGGATGACTGTCTTGCGCCACCACACCCAGCTATTTCTGCTTCTTAATAGAGAGGTTTCCAGCTAGAAACTAAACTAAACTAAAAGAAAACTACAGACTGAAACTGAAGGAAAAGTAAAAGTATGTTCCAGCAATGCATACATTTCTTTTTTGGATGGTATCTGCTGAAAATCTCACAACACAATCATCTACCTCTTGAAGTCACTGCAAGTGCTGCATCCAGCTCCTCTTCCCCACGAATTAATCTTGGACATTATTTTCATATGTTCACAGAATGATTTCATATAAATTTACAAAAAAGTCATAAAATTTAAAAAGTAGAAATTGTATAGGCTGTTTCTAACCACAAGGGTTCAAAAAACCAATGAGCTTCTTGATTTAATTAACAAAATAATTACTGAGTCAATGAGAAAACTCAGCTGCACTTCCAGAACATTTAGAAAGCCACTCTGAGGAGAACATATGGTAATCTTCTGGAGTGAGGAGAGGGACAGCCATCTACTGCACTTGGGCAAAATCGTGACCCTCATCTCTGAACAAAAGGACTTCAGTGCAATGAAACAAAGAACCAACAAAGCAGGTGTATAAACAGCATCCAGAAAATCTGGAAGATGAGGTTAGGAGGGCAAAAAGCAAAAGTTCATAATTAACAAAACAACATCAACAGGATTAAAAATAAACCCCCGAGAAAGTCCTTTGGAATGCTTTGAACCTAAATAAACTTCAGATGAGTTTAACATTGAAAAAAATTAACAGCAAATCAGTAGGAAAGAGAATGGGCTGGAGCCCCAGAGCTAGGATTAAAATGTAATGAAGCAGACAGATCTAAAACTCAGCAAAACATATGACAACCTCAGTCATAAGGACGCTTTCCTCTAGGAAGGATGTACTGTCAAAACCAGTTCAAAACGAGGCGAGGAACCCCAATCTACGAGGGGTGGTGGTCAGGTATCTGAGTGACCCAAGGTGGACAAGGCCACAGGCTGAACAGACCAGGTCCAGGATGCTGCCGATGTCCCTTGGGGCACTATGCCTGCCCTTGAGGCCACTGCTTCTGCTCTGAGAGCTAGGCACGGCCGAGTGGTACCATCAGGGTTCCCTCTTGGTGCTTCTAACAGACGTGTCTCTCCCTGTCATTTCTGGGTACAAAATGACAGGAACATGTTGCCTGTCAGCACTTGCATTGAGTAGCCCAAGCCCCAATGTCACCTGCTCTGTGCATGTTGCTTATGATCAAAGAGGTCCCCAATGTGCTGATGCATGATCAAAAGGCCAGTCTGTGCCTGCCTTCCAGATGGGTGTCCCCAGAGAACCAACACTACCAGGGGAGGTGACCGACAATTCTGGCTGCTCTGGCAGGTCCCCATGGCTCTGCATGGCCCTCAGGGTATGGCAGGGGTTCCCAGCACCCTGAGTACCCTGCAAAAGTCTCCAGGTCACGGTACCCTAGACTCGCTTACACAAATATGCTACATTCCCGAGATACCAGCTGGCCTCCAGGACATCTAGACTGGGACCATCACAGCATCTGGAATTCAGCCCAGGTCAGAGCAGAACCCATCCCAGCTTAATGTCTGATACCTCCACGGTGACTTCATTCCAGCCATTGGCTGACCTTTCCTCCCTCTGGATTTTGCTTAGCAACTCCATGGATCACCGAGGCCAACCTCCGAATCTTGAATCTTGGGAAGGGAAGGAGGAGTCTCATCAGCTCCCTCTTACAAGGCCCCTGGGTGTCTCATGTGGATGTAGCAACTTTCCCCAATGCCTTCCAAGGGCAACTCATTTATTTTTGATCTCTCAGAAACAAATGCCAAGTCCGCCACCCTTTGGATTTTCTGCCACATAGCAACAAGATCACATTTCAAACTGTTGGTCTCTATCTCATTCTTCACTGGGAAACTTGGAGGATTGTGGCTGTTCTCCGGGACCTCACCGAGCTGCCTCAAGCATATGTTCTCTGGCGTTGCTCATCTTAGACATATGGCAAAAAGGGACACTCTCATTTGATAGCACTTCCCCCAAATGAATGCAGGCTCCTCCAGAGAGCTACACAAAATGAGTTCCTGGGTCCCTGTACACTGACAAAAGTCCAAAGTTTTGTGAAGTAGAGGAGAGATATTTCTTTTCCAAGAATATATTTATTTGTTACCAGCTGTGAAATTGAGATGTCGTCCACAATTCCTTCTTACAGATTTCACCATGGCTAAATAGTAGCAAGAGGACCACAGGCTGCCAGCCACTTTGCTGAAACTGCAGAGGTAATGTTTGAATCATCGATCTTTATCTATAGATCTAGAACCAGTGACCAAGGTCATTATTTTAGAACTGGAGAGACCAAGGCTCAGTTAGGGGGAATAATTGGGTCGAGGGTTCCTAAGGCTCTGGTTGCCGGTGATTGTGGTGAGCCCCATGACACGGCCACTGAAGTCTCTGTTTCCTTGAATTGGTTCCAATACACAGAAGGCTCCAGCCTGAGGACACAAGGGACAAAATTCATCTTAGTGTTTTTCATCTTTGCACCAATATATGCTGGGCCTCTGTTCCACTGCAGGCTGAGTAGCACATATCAAGTCTTGGGGGTTAAAGAAAAAATCTAGGAAATTGAGACAAGACTCCCAAAGGTCAGACCCAATGGAAATTCAAAGAGGCAAGGGGCCAGGTTCCTTGTTTCAGTCATTATGATGTTGTCTCTTAGCTTCCAGTGAATGAATTTTATGAAGTTAAGGAAGTTTCTATTGGCCTGAGAAAAGTACTCATGTTATGTAAATTTTAATTTCTTTATATGAAAAGGGGGGTGATAATACTACTGGCCTCATGAAGATTATTGTAAAGAGTAAAGAAAGCATGTGACATTCTCAACACAGCAGCTCACACATAATAAACACTCAGTTTACACCAGCTAGTCCTTTTGGGGGTGATGGGGAGGGAACCCAAGTCCTTGCAGATGCTACGCAAGCACTCTATCACTGAGCTATATTACAGCCCTTTAAAATTTTCATTTGCAGACAGAGTCTATCTTTATTAGTTCTAGTATTCCAGTGATATTCAAGATTTTTATAAGATAAATGTGTTTTTCTCCTTTGTCCTGAATAGATAGCTTAATGTCAAACCAAATTTAGACCCTAGAATAAATCTACCTTGGCATACTATTTTTAAAATACTACACAGTTGGATTCAAATGTTAATATTTTATCAAGGGTTACTATAACCATTACTAGGTAAAATGGAACCTACTGGTTTATTTGTGTGCTATTCTTATTAAATTTTGTATGCAGGTTGTGATAATATTTTAGTACAAATTTTGGAAGGTTTCTATATATCTTTGTGCTCTAAGAGTTTAAATGAGAATTGTCTGTCCCTTACTTTTATGGATTAAGTGTTTGATCAGGTCTCTTGGAAATGGATGATGGATAATATTTTAATTTCATCTGTGAATGCCAGTGTGTTTCCACATTTTACCTCTCTGTACTGCAATCTGGAAAACTTATGCCTGCTTGGGAAATTGTCCTTATTGTGTAAATACTCAACTTCTGTGACATAAAATTGTATGTAATTCTCATATTGTTTGTGTGTGTGTGTGTGTGTGTGTGTGTGTGTGTGTGTCCTTCTTGGCTGTGATTCTTTGCTAATTTCTTACTGTAGATATATTTATTTGTGTTTCCTTTTGATCAGAAGCTTCTGCTTCATTGGTGTTTAAAAATTATTGATATTATCAATCAATTCTATGCTTTCTCATGAACTATTTTTCTCCATTACTATTTTGCCTCTTTCCTCAATATTATCTATTACCTTTCAATATTTTATCTTTAAGCATGTAATTAGAATATAGTAAATATCTGTATAGCTATAATTGGGAGAATAAAATCGATGTTTTACAATTAGATTTTATTTTTTCTTTTGACGATGGGCTGTTGTCCAACTTCCTCATTCAGACAGTGTAAACTGCCACCTGCTCCTCTCCTCAGCTCAGATGAATGGACAGAGAAGCAACTGGAACACACTAGGGAGAAAACTAATACACAGGTCTGCAAGGAATACCAGATGCTGGCCCCAGGAAGTCGAGGCTGGTTTGATTCCCACAGGGAGGGAAGGAGCCAAGAATGGGGAGTAGGGTAAAACAGTGGGGACATTTTGTATCCATTGTCTCCTTGAATTCCTTCCTCACTCTTCTGCAATAAAAGCCTCTGCACAGCTGACCATGGGAGACTGAGGTTTGAGGCAAAGATTTCCCTGTCTCCTTTGGCTCTGGCTTTGAATAAGTCTTTCCTTCCACCCAAATTGTCTGCTGTGTTGTCAGTGAATGACAGGCAGAGTGGACCTTAACTTCAGGTAACCTAGCCAGCACATGATTTTAAGCAATTCTAATGTGTTATCGTGTTTAAGTTTCCTTTTAAGAAAGAAATGGTGCATTTGCTGAAGTGGTTGCAACCCACTGTGAATTCTAGGTAGACCCCAATGGAGAATCCCTCCCAGGCACACTTTTGTATTTTTACTACATGAGAGTGACTTCACAGGCTGTGTACTAAGTGTTATTGACTGGTCTTAAACCTTTGAGACACGATCTTGCACACACATCATCTTGCAGCCTGGAGACCTGGAGACTTTTCCAAGAGAACCTCTAGTTCAATCCCTTCACTGCCATGTGGCATGCAATGGCTGTGATGCAGGAGATTAGGGCTGGCAAACCAGCTGAACAAGTGGGTGTGACCTGTTAATCCCAGAGGCCCAGGACAGATGCACAGAACACAGTTCCCAAGCCCTGCCCCTGGGACCAATCAGAAAGGCCAATCCTCAGTTCTTCTGAAGCAAAATCAAGCAGGTTTTTGACAGGACAGCCTAGCTCTGATATCAGCCTGAAGAATGAGGGATATGAAAGACCTCTGCCATTAACCTCATGGCCACTGTGAGCTCTTTCAGCAGCCATTTCTCACTCTGCAGAGTGTACTTCTTGTCCTATCTTTAACAAATATAAAACTTTGCCTGTGTTACCCTGAAAATGAGACCTAACCAGAGATTAAAAAATGCCAGCCCCAATCAGGCTATCCTTGCTTTGTCTGCAATTACAGAGCAGCCACCTAGCAAGAGAACAGAGGTATAATCTGCAAGACACTGGACATCACCATGGTAATGACCAGTTATTAATTATACCTGAAATTTATTTTCTGATTAGATCTTATTTTTGGGGAAACGTGGTGCCTTTTTCACGTGTCTTGTCCAATTCTTTGTTCAGCACACCAAGGACCTAGAAACAGTCTACAGAACTCCAGAATCTAACAGTTGGACCACCCAATTAATGGAATTTTATGTGATTTAAAATTTATAATTATGAAAGTGCATCAGTGAACATTCTTATATAGGTGTCCTGAGGCTGCTTTCTAGGATACAATAATAGATGTGTGAGGATCTAACTGTTAGACATTGACACTTCCCTCCAAAGTGCTGGTTTCAAGGCCAGCAGTCCCTGGAAGTTCCTTCTGTTCCATGCTCTTGGCTGGACCTTGGGGTGACCAAGCACCACCAGCCTTGAGCTCCTGCCATTCAGGTGGGTGTGGGTGGGATGTCGTTGTGGATTTACTTAGCATCTCTGATTCTTAATGATGCAGAACACCTTGTCATACTTTTATTGGGACTATCGAAGTTATTGTTTGCTATTTGGAGTTTATTCTATATTCATTTCTTCCTTGCTCAAACCCTCTGCAATTTTCCTCCACAGTCTGTGTCTCAGCTTTTACCTTTGTTCACAGAATCTTATTTGCTTTTGCTCAGATGTTTTAAAATTTAATGTAGTAAGCCTCATTTATCTTTGCTTTATGCTTTATGGTTTTTACAACTTCCCAAATTCTTTCCTGCCTAGTATCATAAATATTTTCTCCTACACATACATTACAGAATTTTGAAATTTTCAAATTGAGGTCTATAACCCATCTGAAATTGGTTTTCCTATGGGAGTTTAGATTTATTTCTCTTTGTGTGGATCAGCGATGGTCTCATCCCCACTTACTGACAAATTTGTCCTCTCCTGGTGATTTGTAAACCACTGCTCCTTTCTGTCCACACAGAAATCCATTTCTGGGCTGTCCTTTAGAATTTATTTACTGTCTCTCTCTGTGCCAATATCAGTCTTAAATTGCATTAAACGGTTTATCGTATTTTGTTATATGCTTGTCCACATTCCCCACTGTGTAATTTTCATTCAAGAGCACCTGACTCCCCACTCTTCATACATGTTTGGATTATCTTAAGTCCGTGAAGGGTTCTATTCAAATGTTGATTGTAACTATACTGAATTTATAATTTAATTTCTAGTGAATTATCACCTCGCAATATGGAGTCCCCTCACATTCATGAAAAAGGCATTCAGCTCTCATTCATGTCCATTTATAATTTTCTTTTTAAGAGAGCACATTTTTCTGTTTAGTTATTCCTAAGGTTGTGGTTCATGGCACTGATATTGTCAGTAATTTTTTTTTACATTTTATAACTAGCCATTGTTGATAAGAACATAGACTTTCATATATGAAAAAGAAGAGACAGCGTGGCTGCTTGAGCTGATAGGCTAAGGCAGAATCTCACAAGGCTTTTTGCTTGTTCTCTGGCACCTATTGCTCAGCCTGCCCTCCTCCCCTGCCCTGTGGATGAGATCTTAAGAAGTGTTTGTGTTAGGTTGGAGATATGTATTAGCAGGAGTGCCAATGAAGGTTAAAAGTCACTGGGACATCTCTCTTCTGCAATATCCCGCTTCCCCTGCACGTGAGCCATGGCGGTCCCGAGTCATCCCTCCCTGGTTTGTTTCTGTCCTCTCGGCTGTGTCAGGGACCTCCCAGTGCATATCCTCTACCTCATCCGGGAAGCAGCTCAGGTGTGAGGCCCTGTAGCAGGTGGCAAACCTTCCATGTGTGAAAAGGGCTGTCTCTATCTGAGTTCTGTGGTTCCTCCAGTCCCCAAGGCTCAGTGCTTTAGGATTCCCTTGCTGAAGCCCTGACCCTCTGATCGTGAGCTCTTCTGTGGCTCCACTGGGGAATCTCCCGTGACATGAAGGCTGAGCATTCATCCATAGATTGTTGGTCTGATCCTATCTGCTTCCTATCTTTACCTTCCCTGACTTGTTTTCCAGCCTTGCTAGACTTTTGTGTCTAACTTATTTCTTTGGCAATTTCTCTGTGATAAAAGCAGAGGAACGAATAAGTAACCAATCACTGTTTTGACATGAACTGAATTTTCCCCATTTCTCTACTCTGTGCCTATTAACTAGCCTGGTTTTCATATCTTATTCATAGGGATCCTGGTTTATCGAGTTTTATTGAGCGAATCTAGCAAGTGCTATTTAAAATTTACTTCCTTGTCCTGAAATAAGTAATCTCCTCTATGTTTCCCTTTACTCTTGAATTCTAGATTCTTCTTTAATATTTCAAAGAAAGCAAAACAAGCAACTACCTGTTGCACAAGAACCGTGTTCACAGTTTCATTGACAGGCTAGGAAAATGCTTCTGTCATTCTGTATTAGTGAGCTTTCCCATTACTGTGACACAATAATCAGCATCCACAAAGTAAAGGAGGAGAAGTCTAATTTGACTAATGGTTTCAGGATACTCAGTCCATGATTGGCTGGTTTCAAGGCAGGAGCATCGTGGCAGAAGGGTATAGTGATGTTAGTTCATAAAGGACAGGAAGAATAGCAGGAGAACAGTGCCAGAGAGAAAGTGGTGAGGGACTGGATATTACACAGAAGGTCATGATGCCATGGGCACTTCTCCATCTGGTCAGGTTGACATGTCACAAATAACGGTTACAATCCAAGCCTTGTTAACTTGACAACTAGCCACATCAAATACTGACATAATTCCACTTCACATGAATAACTATCTTGGCCACAACTAGAAATATACTAATCCCCCAACCAGGTCTCAACAATTCCAGCATTTTTCAAAAGTCCAAGTCAAACTCTCAATGCAAATTCTTAGCTGTAAACCTCCATAAAAATAAAAAACAGGTTACATGATCTCAAGGTACAATGGCACAGGGTAAACAGTCCCATTCCAAGAGGAAGTGGTAAGGAGACAGAAAAGAATAGGACCAAAGCAATACTGAAACCTAGCAGTGCAAACATTGTTCCGTAGCAGCTCTATGTTTAGCATCTGGAGCACACAGTGGTGAGATGGGTTTGAGGGCATGGGTGGCCTCCCCCTATACCCTGTGGTCTTGCTGCCTGCAGCCCACATGACCTCTCTCTTGGGCTGGCATCATTAGCAGCCTGTAGCTTTCCTCAGCTTCCATGTTCCTGGCATCTCTAACTTCTTGGGGTTTTTTTTCCACTGCATCTTTAGCTTCATTTCCACAGCTCCACACAGTGTCCCCTCAGGAGCTCCTTACTTGGCCTCCCAGGCCTTGCTCTGAAATCTGCGGCCTCCCTGACCCAACTCTTGGATTCTGCCTATCAGTAAAATCAGCACCATGTGGGCACCACCAAGGTTTTCTGTCAGCAGAAAGAGTAGCCAGCGCCCCCTATCCTGGACCATGGTTGAAGTACATCTGAGTGCCTGGATGGCTGAGCAGAGTGAATGAATCCTGGTGAATTGATTCCCTAGGAGACCCTTCTTGAACACTTGTCCTAGAGACTCACTTCTCAAATGAAAGGATGATACTTTTGAACCCTCCAGCCCACCGTGGATGGGGTATTGTTGGTTTCTGAGATGCCGTCAATGTATTTTTTTTTTTTTTCCCTATACAAAATACTTGGCTTTTTTTTTTTTTTTTTTTTTTTTTTTCGGGATCGATCTGGGCCTT